AAGCAGCTTCATGTTGGACTGCATTCCTCAAGTGTGTTTGTTTCGACATCTATGAAACATTTTAGTGTTAAATCATCTACAAGCTCAGCTTTCAAAAGAAAGGGGCCCAGGCAGAACTAGAAGATCCTCGAGTCTGTTACACTGACACTTCACTAGATGTGTGCATCAACAGCAGGAATAACACACTGGGTTAACCAAGTGTAGATGGTTTACATGGAGCTAAGATACAGAGCACAAAATCTGCTTTGTTTTAGGTTTTTGAGCCATTTAATGATTGGTCATTATCAACACTTTTTCAGATAAATAAATGACGTTTTGAACAGCCCTGTATCTCCTGATTTTTCTTCTATTCCCACAATAAGGTTGTTGTGTTTTTAGTAAAATACCTTGACAACTATTAGATGGATTAACATGAAATTGAGATCTCACATTTCAAATTTAAATCCATCAACTACTACTTTAGAACTTGGTTCGAGGCTGACTATGGTGTTGGGAATTAGGATTATGGTTACAGGTTGATGCAGTTATTATGTGCTTAACGGAAACAACGCCAGGAGGAACTGTGAGTACATTTCTCAATGTGAAGGGTGTCTGTGTAGATGTGTAAGGAAAGGGTAAAGAAAGTCTGTGAGGAGAAGGAAACTGAACTAAATAAAATAGGTCACTGTTGTCCAACCTAACTTCCCTGTTGCTCCTGTTCTCTTGACACAAGAATACTTTGTAACCGGCACAGTTGGTGGCAACACACCGACCTGTTAACATCTGTATTACACCAGCAACAATAAGCAAACTACCTATTAAGCATTTCTTCTCATCTGACTGATTGTTTGCTCTACTTGGGTATGATGACTGGGCAGATATGGACTGCTCTCTGCTGAGGTCAACTGGAATGCGATAGGTGATGTGGAAACTGCAGTGGTGTATTGAGCGTCGCAGGAATAGCTACAAGCAGGCAGTGCTGAGCAATTAATCAATGAAACAAACTGGTGCTGTACGGATTCAGAATTATCCATCCTTTGCACAGCCTCTGCAGCACAACTCCACAGGCTGTAGGCAACTCTCAACTCAGCATGATATAAAAATCCTGCTGAATATGAGCTTACTTACTCTAAATTCCCACTTTATGTTTTACAGTGTCGCTCTTCATAGCAAATTTGAAAAAATGTTACATTAATCTACATTAACATGCAGATGTTAAGTAACAACAGTAAATTAGTGAAAGAATAGACTATAAAATGCTTCATCATCGAACATCTGTGCTTTCTTTAAATGACAGCATTCTCCATGGAGGTTAGAAAATTGACATGAGGCAGCTGTTCACTGTTTATGTGTCCTCCTCTTGTGATCCAAGACATATCCCGCAGTGTCTCCTGCTTGCATACTGACAACTTGTGAGTTTGTTTGTGTGTTTTAGCCTCAGCAGGTCGATTCAGCTCTGCAGCTGTCCTTGTTCAAACTCAGCACATTGCTATTTAAATTAGGCTTCACCAAGTAGCACCTTACGCCAAGTTCATGTGGTACACTGGTTTTGACCAGTTCTGTTAGTAGTACTACCAGGTACAGACATTTGTGAATGCCTCTGAGAATTAACAGATCATGAGGGAGGGAGGGGCATGTTGGTTTTC